GCATGGCCTCGTGCTCGAGGACCAGCTCTTCAAGGTCAGCATTGCACACGCGTCGGCGCCACGCAAGACGAGCCTCACGCGCAAGCACGCGGCCGAAGACGACGAAAGCGCGCAGCACCACGGCAAGCGCCAACGCGACGACGCGGGCCAGCGCGTCGTCGCCAAACCGATCGCGCTTCTCGAGCCGACGGCCACGGATGTTTGCACTAGTACTATGACCGTCGAGGCGATCGTCGCGGCGCTCCTGTCTGAGATGGTCGATGGCCTCGAAGCGGCGCTGACACCGCCCAAGCCATCGATCGTGAAGCGCAAGTGCTTTGGCCAAGAGTCGACGCGCTTCAAGCAGCCCAAGCGCGGGACCGAGCCGTCACCACCGAACGCCGATGACGACGATATCCGCAAGGACAAGCCCTCGGCCGAGACCGGTCGCGCGCAGCTCAAGCGCGCGAGCGCAAAAGCCGACCATGCGGGTAGCAGCAAGCGTACGGAGAAGAAGCGCGCGCCGCCGAAGCCGCAGTCGCCGCGCGTCAAGCTCTTTGTCACGAGCCTGCTGGACGTACTCGACCTCCTCGTGTCATCCTCGGCTGATGCGTCGTCTTGGTCTAGTACACGCACCAGGAGCTCGATGCCATGTTTCGTGTCTACGGCGACCTCGACAGCGTCGCGCTTGTCCCGTGTCAAGGCAAGCTGCGCACGATGGCGTATGTGACCTTTACCAAGGTCGGCGAGTGCTTGTTGGTGTGTGCGGGCGCGTAGTGCGTGTCTAGGCGTCCACCGCACACATGGCCATCGAGTCGTTCCAGGAGGACCCATCCTCGCTTCTCACGGTAGGCTTCCATGGATGCTATGCAGATATCTGAATCAGAGGGTATCCCGATAGGTCGTGCTGGCCGATACGCCGCCGCGGCGCCCGACGCTGCAGCGACCGCCGGACGCGTATTTCGCTGCCCCGTACGACACCGCTCCGGCTGCCACGTGTACGGATCTGATTGGTTTGGATGATTGGAGTAGACCCGAACGCAACTGGCTCCTCGTCGAGTACGAAGCGACCTTGTCCACTGCGATGCTCTCGCAGTGCATGTCGGCGTGCCCCGGTATGGTGCTCATGGACATCAAGATCAGTGGCGACACCAATGCGGCCAAGGTACTCGCCTGGACATAATATTGTCTGCTATCCTGTACATTTTTGAAAAAAACGACACATGTTGGGGGTAGGGTCTCGTCTACGTCAAGTTTGCGTCGGAGCGACACGCGCGCGGGGCCATCGACTTGCTCTCGGTCCACGCCAGCATTGGGACGATGGATTTGATTCCAGATCCATCCCGCGCCTACCTCGCACCGCCTCTCGATGTGGTAGAGTAAATCATCGAAAACGATGCAAATGACACACCAGGAATGGTGTAGGACCTGCACGCCGTCGAGAGCCAATTCGCCCACTTGATGTCGACGCGACCGTACGTCCCGCCGCTGCACGCGTACCCGCGGATCGAGCCGGCGTACCCCGTCTACGAGTATCTCGAATGCGATGTACTCGTGAGAACTGAGGAACCTGTAGGTATCCGCCGTATGCGGTACCACCCATGTATGCGGCGCCGCCGTTGCCGACCGAGGACGTTGGGACCAAGGGCATTTGGCTCCACATCACGTCGACGTCGCCGACGACACCCTTGGACCAGGCCACGCTCGAGGTACGGTTGGTGCCCTCTCCGCCCTTTTCTATCAAGAATTATACTACTATTGCTTGCGTAGGAAGCCCTGGCGCCGCTGGATGTGCTGCAGCTGGTCGTCGACAGCGACATTGACGCGTCGGCCAAGGTGGTTGAGAATGGTTTTTGGTGCAAAAGGCGATGTGACATGTCTAGTTTTCCGATGCCAACGACGCGCTCTTGGCGATCCACGCGCTGACGCAACCCGGCTCTGCGTACCACGTCAAGCTCAGTCGGACGCCGTCGTCGCTCCGAGTCAACAAGAAGGCCAAGACGCACTACTGGCCGCATGGCTGACCGTTGACGACGATCCTACCCTACCCCTATTCTAACAAAAGCGTCCCATCGGAGAGGACCAAATACACACAGCTGATGCAACGCGCTTTCCAGTTGATTGTCGCGACAAAGGACTTGATACGGACGACGGCGGGGAGCGTTGAAGTTGTACTGCAAGGTTGCTACCGCTCTATAGGCTTGAACATCTGTCTTCCAGGGTATGTATGGCAAGAGACGCGATGCATCCGAGCACAAGCATGAGTACATGGAGATCCTTGGCGACTACACCGCTCTCTTCAAGTCCCAGCTTCAAGGTGCAGCATCTCGAGACCAAGTAGAATTGCGATCGAGCCGATTGTGGTAGGTTTCCTGGACGAAGAGGACATTTCAGCAAATGCGTTGCACGCGGTGTGCCAAGAGATGAACGACAAGCGCCGCAACGAGGATGCGTACATCGGTCTCTACGACTGGTTTCTGGAAAAGCTACTGGCGACGGTCGACGAGCACTCATGCAGCGAGCGTCCACACAAAAAACGCGCAAGTAATTCCATGGGCATCGATGCAAGACGCTGAAAGACACGACTGCATCGTACAAGCCAGCATTTCGTCTGCCATGCACGTCGAATCGTTCATTCTTGACGACGGGTGGTACGTGTGGTTAACGAACTCGGAGGACGCACATTTAAATTACGTAAATGGAACTCGTCGGTGGCGTCTGTCGTCGTCTGCATACAGAGCTCCAATTTTTTCTAGAATTGTACAATGACAATTCGTTAATACGCTTCCAGAGGATTGATCACGGTCACTGTCAACGTGCCATTGCCGGGAAAGAGGCGAATGTCAGGGTAGACATCTGCATTGCGCCCCAAGTACGTCTGGACGGTCGCCACTTTTTGGAATTCGACATTGCACTTGGCGAGGTCGTCGCAAGTCGCTCGTGAGATAACCACATGCCGCGTGTTGCCTTCCCATCGGAGCTGTAAAATCCCCGGCGTCGCAACCCGGTCGTCGTCGTCGTCGTCGTCGTCGTTGCTGCTTAGTCCATCATGGTGCCACATGCAGTCTTCGATGAGGCTCCAGAAGCAGTGCCGCGGCGCGATCCCGAGACCGATCCGGTACATGTCGGATGTCCACACTGCAAACTCGCTGACGGCGTCCGCGCCCACGAGCGTCGGCGGTAGCAGCGGCGACGTGCCATTGTCGACACCGTCAATAAGCTCCGTCGGCAAAAGTGTCGCAACCTGCGCCTCGTCGCCAAACACGATCGACAGGTCGCTCCGGTCCACATCCCAAAAGACACGTTCGCGCAAGAACACCTTGGCGACTTGGACGTCCGAATTCATCGTATGCTGGAAAGCGAGCGAGACCGGCGGCAGCGAGAGGCGGAAGAACGCAAAGGTCCGCCGGAGGTGGTGGCTGCTGGCGACCGTGCCGTCACCGCACGGGGCGCCAGCCTCGAGCCGTCCCGTGCGGAGGTACTCGAGCACCAGTGGGATGTCTTCGGGGCCCCAATCAAAGAGGTAGGCACCTACAGCAACCATGTATGGTATACTAGTACATCCATTTGACCACTGACCCGACTCGTCGCGGGGCCAGCTGGGGGCCGAGAGCACGACGGGGAAAATCGAGTCGAAGCGTTGGAGGAGCGTCGCCGTCGTCGTCTGAAACGTCGCGCCGCCGACGTTGAGTCGCACAAATGCAATCGGCACGGTCGAGAGCGAGCTAGAGAGCACTTGGAAGCGCCAGTACATGAGCACGAGCATCGCCATGCTCAGTGCCGAGACCGCGAACGGGATGAGCTTGACGAGCGAGTGGACGAGCACGGTGGAGGGCGGCGTCGCCTCCATCGGTCGCGCGCTCATTTAAGTTTGTCGCGACCTATTTTTACGACTCCAAAGGTGGCGCAACCGACGCGTAGAGGGGGATCGCGCCGCTGCGACGCTACATGGATTGCACGCTAGCATTTTGGGCCAAATTTGTCGACGGCTTTGGCTTTGGTCCAGTGCTCTCGTACAAGGGTATACAAACGTAAGTACTCTTGTTTCGCATTGCATCCTTCGTTGCAACAAAGATCTTGTCGTCGTTTTCGATGAGCATAAAGGAATAATCGCATCGCTAGCTAGCCGCATTTAACGGGGCGCGCAATGTACAAGGCTTCGACGCCTGCACCATCGACGTCACGGTCGCGTGTGTTGCCAAAGCGGGGCAGTTGTTAATCATGCTTCCAAGCGCACCGCCGCCATCGTCGCCATCGTTGATGCCGCCAGTGCCTTGGACAGAGGCGCTCGAGACAGCCGAACTTCGGCCTTCTGGTACTCATGGGGCAAAGAGGGATGACTTCTGCAGGCCGTTGGGGTGTGATGTTGTGGCAAGAGTAGCCAGTCGTAGCCGGTCGCACACATGATGTGAATGCGCGATCGCTCTCTGCACCAAGAGCGCAACTTCGGAAACCTGCATCCCTTGAACCAGCATTCTTGGTCAGGCTATGCTTTGATTGGTGTATCTGGATGAACGACCTACATTGTGTGTGAGATCTTTGAAATCTTGAAAGATATGATAGGGTCAAAACCACCCGCCGCAAGTTGCTGCACTGTTGCCACGACCCCTGGCACCGGCGTAGAAGAGGCAGTGGCGGCGAGTACAGTAGTAGCAAGTCGCTACTTCTAAACAATCGAGAGACTCAACTGCAAAGTAGAGGTCAAGCACATAAAAAGGCCTCCAATTTGTATGTATTTCTATTCAAAACGTATGATACCGGCACCGTCAGCGGCCGTTGCAAGACGAAACAGTCGCATACCATAGGCCCATCAAGCCAAGATCGCAGCATGCGATACAAGAAACGAGCCGCTTCAACACACACGCGTTCGTAGCTCCAGAGGCTGCCGGACGCACGGTGTACTTCCAACTGTAGTCTCTGACAGATATGGTACATGCTCGTGTCCAAGTTTCATCCACGCGCTCGATTGCGCTGCTACTAAAGTTGCTGCTCAACGTTGGGCACATCTGGACGTCCCATTTTGGCCCGGCGAAGCACGATTTCTCTACAACCACAGATCGTAGAAATACAGGCTATACCTTGGTCGATGCTCAAAATTCTTGCGCATCTGAGCGCCCTTTCCGTGCACGACAACGCTGTTTCGTACTGGAGTTCGCCCCATCGATCGACGTGCTCGACGTCGCCGCGGCCGTTCATGGTTTATCAAGAGGGATGAAATTCTCTGAAGCCGTGCACAATTATTTTTCGGAAAACCATCCTGACGATGTAGTACTATACTAGTACGTTGTACTAGTAATATGGGACAAAGAGTTTATTTTGGAACGAGCGTTGAGACTGAATTCAAATGGCCACGTCGACCCTTCGCTCTACGTGTCATGAGGCTGGTGGGGAAATTACCGGTTCTGTTCCATCTCACTGCGATACAACTCGATCGCTGACGGGCACGGCGATGAAGTAGGTCGTGAGACCACGAGCAACTGGCACTGAGGACCCTCTGAACGACCCGCCACGGCCACCGACGACGCGCTGCCGGTGCTTGATGACGATGCCGCTACAGCAAGCATAGCCGCCTTTGTCTCGAGCAAGTGCCTGAAGCGCAGGAGCTTGTAGTCCACCATGGGGTTGTGCGTCGACGAGGCGGCGAAATGATGCTTCGAAGCACCTTGATGCACCCACCGCTGGTGAGGCGTTGATTCCAAGCAAATCGCCAGCATGGGCCACGTGTACGCTGAGGATGTTCACTATCTAATCCTCGCGGAGGCCATTCCCGGCGTAGAGCAAGCCACAGCGACGGACGAGATGTCTTGACACTGACAGCTGCATAACCAAACAAGACAGCTCCGGCTACGAATAACTCATTTCAACAACACAACAGGCAATTTCCCAACCGCCTTGTCTATGTCGAAGACCGCAGTTACTAAATGAAACGGGTGCTATAATGGTTGCATGTGTGAAAAGGCAGTTGTGTACTGTAAGGCCATGGCATCGGAACCGCGCCAGCCGACGCGACCGTCGTTCTCGCGCCAGCCGACGCGGTCGTCGTTCTCAGGCCAACCAACGACGCGGTCGTCGTTCTCGCGGACTCTCTCGGGGATGCTCGTCAAGTCCGTCTCGGGCGTCCTCGCACCGACCAAGTGGCTCGCCCAGCCGTTTGAAGCGACCGAGGAATTCTCGGGTGATGAGACGATCCAAGCACTCAAAGAGTGCTTGCAGTGCCCGATTTTGTGCTTTTGCCTCTTGAAACACGTGCTCTCGACCATCTTCTTTTGCGTCATGTTTATCTCGCTCCTAACAATCACGCCCAACGAAGCCGCGTACGTAGTACTCGTCGATTCGCTCGGTTCCAAACACGACTTGTAGAACCCTTCAAATTTACTCTCCGTCCGCCACGACCGTCTACAATCTTGTCTCTGCTGTGGGCCACGGCTACGCCCTCGTCGAGCTTATCTATCAGTACCTCTGGCGCTCGGAGCCCAAAACACAAGCGCGGCCACGCTCGGGGCTGTGGCGCCAATGCCTCGACCGCATTCAGCAGTCGCGCACCGCGACATGTACGTACTCGAAAATGTGCTCTCTCTCAGGACTAAGCTACGATAACTCTTATTAGGCTGGTTCCAAATGCTCGAGATCAGTGCGCAGTCGTACCAAGCATGGAGCCTCTCGTACATGGTGTCGTCGATGCCGGTCGTCGCACTCTACACCGCGTGCATTGCGCTCAACGCGGTTCTCTCGCCATGGCTGCTGTGTTCCCGCATCGCCTATGTCCACAGGACCCTCCGTCTCTTCATCAACGGCGTTTTTGGGTGACGAGTCATTTTGGAAATTTGACACTATCTTCCACTATTACATGGTGTAGGTTTACGCTCAATACTGGATTTCCCCTCATCGAGCTCGTGCCCCGGCTTCTCCAGAGGCGTTTGACGCCCCGGGCTCACATCTCGCAGCTTCGAAACGACCCGCTCTGGGTCACCACGATCGTGCTGTACGCGCGCGGCTTCAACGCGACGACCGGCGTCGGCCTCATTGTCAAGATTGCGAGCACCTTGCTCAATTTCTGGACCCTCCGGCTTCTAGTGTCGTCCATCTGGGGTACCCCCAAGCGCAAGCCAGTGTCATTCAGACTGGGGCCACGCTTGAGTCAGGTTATTCCATCACCAGGAAGCGGGCCTCCCGAGCAGGAGGTGCCGCTGCGACGCAACTCTCGCATCGTGTCGCTCTCCCAGCTTCCGCAGGCACGGTACTGGAATTTCCACATCTCGGGCACTTCCAAGGTGCTCTGCACCATCATGGGAGCCTGGGGAGCGCTGCTTTTCGTGGCTACCGGCCTCTTGATTGCACAGCCGCCGAGTGCTTCGTGTCCGTCCGACTGTCTCCTTCACGTGACACCGCTCTTTCACCTCTCGTGCGACTGCGTCTACTACCGACACGTGTGTGACAAGAACGCGAGTTCAAACCTCACCGCATTGATCTCGCCGTCGCGGCTCGGGCACGACCTCTTTTACTTGGAAATTGTCCACTGCGCACTCCCAAACGGTCTTCCCTCGACACTCTTGCTGCCATTCGAGTCACTTTTGGCCCTGCGTATTATGTACTCGAACATGACAGCGTACGACGTATCACCGCGCTGCCTCCCGACATCCCTCAGGTATGTGGAGATTCGGTACTCGCAGCTCACGCAAGTCCCCGCCATCGTCGCTACGGTGCTACCCCCCAACTTGGTGTACCTCGCTCTCGACGGCAACGCTATCAAGCATGTCCCGAGAGATACGTTGGCGGCGTGGCGCCCGCTCGCCTCATTGCACATGTCCGAGACGAACATTGCAGACGAGGTGTTTTCTGCTGTCGTCGAATTGCTGCCGCAGCTCACGGAGCTGTCACTGCACCACACGGCCGTCACCACGATCCCGACGCGGCTGTTTGATTTGCCACTGCTCACCCATGTCTTTCTCTCGTCGACAGCCATTTCGGTGCTGCGAATCCCATCGAACGCGTCGAGTCCGCTGCTGCTCCTGGATGTGTCGTGTACGGCGGCTGCCCCCTACGGGCTCTGGCCTGCGTACGTTGTCCAAGGCCGCAATGCGACGTACTGTACCTCCCCGATGCGTGCAAAAGAGTGCTCGCCGGCCTTGTTAAACAACCATTTGTGTGACGTGCCGTGCGCCACCGCCGAGTTTACAGACGACGACGGCGCCTGCGCTCTGTATTTCGAGGCGACGTAGCGTAGTCAATAAGAGTGTGCAATGTCCACGTGTCGTGTGTGTGTTATTACCCCACTCAACTATTAGAAAAGGTCGAGGAAGTGTCTTCCCCGAGGCCTCGGATCCTTCGCTTGACCTCATAAAACTTTCATACAAATTGTTACTATCGTAAGGGAAATTTTGGAGGGAACCAGCTACTAGATGGTTCACAGGATGGTTCAATTCTATGAAAATCCACCGGACCAAGAGATGGTTCTAGACCTCTGGGAAGAGATTTTCTAATTGTACGCGGATGTCTGGATAATGTACTCTTCCTTTCCACTCTCGTGCCTCGCATACCTCACGGCAAGCTGCAAAATTCCCTACACCCAAATTTGACGATCAATGTGCACGTCAGAATCGCTAGGATATCCACCCGATTTTCCCCTATTACGGCATATCGTTCACCATCTTACGGGTACCAACATATCTGCGCATACCCAACTCTTTTGCCGTAGACTCAGAATCGGGCGATATGCGAGGACTTTTGAAGTATCATAGAGCTAGTCGTGACGATTGAAACGTTGGTATCGGAGGCTGCTCGAATGCATTCGTCTCACGTACAGTCGATGCGGCGCGTGGCCATGGCACGGAGGCTGCATGCCTGATTGTCGCCACAAGAAGGCCGTTGGATCCAGTTCATCCCTTTTCTAATTTAGATCAACGACAGAGCTACCTCTGGGCTCTTCCAACGGCAACGACAGAGACGATGGAGGTTTCGAGGCGCCTTGCAACCGTCGAACGTGACGTGTGCCGTTCGACATGGTACTCTCGTCGACCTCGCCGAGAACTACCGTGCTCGCGTGGACGCAGCCTGTCAAAGCGGACGCAATCGTCGTCCTCAAAAGCTACGTGCGCCGACCCGTGCTCGTCTTTTGCTTGCTCAAGCATGCTCTCTCAGCGATCTACACTGGGTTGGTGCTTGGCTCGTTATGGACAATTACGTCCGCAGAAGCCCAGTCCGTCCAAGCCACGACGCTTTCACCGTCTTTGATTGCGTGATGTAGGACCGTTCAAGTCTACTCGGTGCACGCCTCGATCGTCGTTAATGGCGCGCTCCTTCTCGCGCATCTTTGCCGACTCGGTCCTTTGCTGACCCTTCTCCGGCGCTCGCAACGACGCACGCAGCATCGCCCGTCCGCTCGGTTTTTATGGCTCGAGACCCGCACCGCGTCCTGTACGCGCGCACTTGTACACATAAGTGCATGTACACGCCTTCTTCTAGGTTTTTTTCAAGCGCTCGAACTTGGCATGCAGTCGTTCCAAGCGTGGCGACTGTCGTTCTACACCACGTCCATGACAGTTGTGTGTATCTACACGAGCTGCACTGCCATCAACTGCCTCGTCTCGCCACTGCTCTTGACGTCCCGGGCCCCTTTTGTCCACAAGACGCTTCGTCTTTTTGTGAACGGCGTCCTCGGGTATTGGAGACAACTTGTCTGTATAACTATCGACACATTGTACGCGTAGGTTTACGCTCAACACGGCCTTTCCGCTGCTCGACTTTGGGCCTCGCATGTATGCCAAAAAATTTCAGCGGATCGCGATCGCGTCGCAGCTGCGCAATGATGCGAGCTGGCTCACAGTCACATCGCTGGGCATGCGTGGGTACAGTAGCAACACGCTCCCAAGCCTCGTGTGCAAGGTGCTTTTGGGAGCCTTGAACCTCTGGACGATGCAGCTCTTGGCGCAGTCGGTCCTCCAAATGTCCCCCCGCGCCCGTGCGTGTGCTATCATGGCCCCCCCTCGGACCATCGGTGCCGTTTCCCCCACAACGAGAAGGTGGCATCCCGCCTCGTGTCTTTGTCCGAGCTACAGAAGTACTGGGATCGACGCCCCACTCGTCCTGCAAAAGCCATCTGTCTAGCTCTCATTGTGTGGGGTCTTGTCTTGCTCGCCAATCTCATGTACCCAAGCGTTTTCATTCCTTTGATGGACATGTGGTCTATAAAACGAGTAGATGGCTTCTCGTCGCCAGAAACGTTTGTCCGTCGACGTGCAAGGTAGTCGTGACGCCGCTCTTTCGAGATACGACCTGCTACTGCGCGTACGCTCACGTGCACTGCACGGCAACGAACGACGACGACACGGACGATGGCGGCGTTGCATTTCTGCAGTCGCAGCTCGCACCGCTGGGAACCCGTCTCTTTTACCTTGAAATCGACCACTGCCCACTGCCGCACGGCGTCCCCGCGCATGTCCTCGCGCCCCTCACTACGCTCTATGCCTTGCGCGTGCTCTTCTCCAACATGACGTCGTTTGATGGCGTCGGCCTTCCATCGTCGCTCATGGTCCTCGAACTCCGGTACAGTGCATTGACGGTCGCCCCCACGGTCGTCACGTCGGCCTTGCCGCCGATGCTTCTCTCCCTCTACCTTGACGGCAGTCGCATCCCGCACCTCGGTCGCGACGTTATCCGCCACTGGCGACAGCTCACGACGCTTCACGTCACCGAAACACCCATCGGCGACGACGATTTCGTCACCATTGTGCGCGAGCTGCCCCATTTGAGCGAGCTCGCACTGCACCACACGCAAATGACTGCGCTACCGCCCGAGCTCTTTCGCCTGCCGAGCTTGCAGACTGTGTTCTTATCGTCGTGTGCGATCACCGCGTGGCCATCGCAGCCCGTGACGCCGCTCGATGGGTTTTTGGATCTGTCGTGCAATCCGCTCACCCACGCGCCGTCGTGGGTGCAGGTCGATGCTTCGTGCGAGGCGTCCTGTAGCAGCCTCTTGCGCACCAACGGCCTCTGCAACTATGCCTGCGACGACGCGCCGGCCTGCGCTCAGTACTTTCTCCAGCCTAGCCTTAACTGAACCCCGCAACATGGGCCATCGCTCAACACAAAATGAATGCACGTGTCTTGCATTACGTCGCGTGGGGGGTATGACTACATATCGTAGTGCATGCCGGGGGCGGGGGTCCTTAAACACCTTCTTGGGGGGCGTCGTTGGCGCCGGCTCCTCCAGCTGCGGCGCCGACGACGCATGGGCAAACGGACGCGGCGGCGTCATCGGGTGGTGGGTCACATCGTGGTGCGTGAGCAAGTCGCTGTACCCCACCAAGGTTGCTTTCGGCGCGATCGAGCACGTGTTGCGCTCGTACGAGTGCGTCTGTGTCGCCATCTGCGCCAGCGCGCAGCCGCAGCAGCAAAAGGTGAGCAAGCAGTCGGTCGCGACCGAGCCCGGAATCGAGAGCCGCGTGCGCAGCTTGTAGCGCAAGTACCACATGAGCAGCCACGCCAGCGCCGCGCCAAAGCCCGTGCCGTAGCAGAGGGCGAGGCCCAGCAGCATCGGGTAGTAGCTCGCGACGCCGAGACGGGCCATGGTCTGCGCCATCGACACGCACGGGCAGAAAAAGGCCAAGAGGCAGTTGGGCACCACGTCCGTGAGGCAGCCAAACACCGGCGCCTCCCAGCGCCCGACCACGAGCCCATTCTCGTTGCGCGGACGGTCGCCCGTCAGGTACGTGGTCGTCGTATCGCGGTGGAGCTCGTCGTCGTCGCGGACGTCGTCGACCTTGGGGCTCAGCGTCTGCAGCGGTGTCGCCTTGGGTTCGAACATTGCAGCGCCAAAGCAAAAGTGAGCGATTGGAAGGCACAGGGAATGGAGCCGCGTGTTCGCGCCAACGGGCTATTCGGCCTCGTTCTGGTGGGACGAGGCGTGGCACGTGCCGCGTTGGGACAGGACGCCGCTTCCGATCGCTTCGGACCTCGTCAACGGCGAGGTACTGGCGGCGTGGAGGCCAAGAAAGACGAGTCAAGGGCTGTGAATGCAAGCCAGCACGTGGGGATCCATGACACCAAAGTCTCGTCAAGCGCCGCCGCAATGGCTGAAAAGTCAAGAGACTCACCGTTGGTGGGAAATGTGCTTCGCACTTGGTCCAACGGGGCTTTCTGTCCCGGCCGTGTAACCGTGTAACGCTGCGTCCGATGCCGCTGCGGTCGGCGACGTTTTGCCGCGCGGCGTACAACGCCCACGTCCAAGGCCTCGTCCACCGCCGTTTGAACCCGATCTCGGCGTACACCGAGTACACGCTCGTCGAAGACTTGACGCTCTACGACCTCTTTCGGGCGCCACGTCCCGTACACACGTCGGCCGTGGTGTCGGTGGTGGACGTGGACGCGGAGCTGCAGTGCCCCATCTGCCTCGGCGTATTGCAGCAAACGACCGTTGTTCCGGCGTGCTTGCACCGCTTTTGCCGAGTGTGCATTGAGGCTTGCCTCACATGCGGCAAGCTCGAGTGTCCGACGTGCCGCGCGGTTATTCCAAACAAGCGCGCGCTGCGTGCGGATACGACCTTTGATGCGCTCGTGCAGCTGCTGCACCCGCCGTTCCCACCACTCTCTCCAAAAAAAAAGCGACCGGCACCGAACGGTACGAACATCGTGGCAGGTACCGAGAGCTGGTGTCATGCTGGATGGCGTAGACCTGGCCGATTCGACGACGCTTGTTGTTGCGTTTGCCCAGCTTGGTGCAGTAGCACCGTCTCAATTGCAGTGGACGACGACGTTGGAGGCGACCGTGCACGAGGCCAACGAGTGGCTGCGAGAGCACCTTTCCGTGCCGGCCATCGTGTGCACCAAGGACGGCGCCGCCCGCCCCCTCGACGCCACGCTTGCAGACGCAACGACCGAACACTTCCCGTTGTACTACCGCACGTCCGGGCGCGTCGACACTTCGTCCTAATTTCCTCGAACAGGCATGCATTGCATATACTTCGTATATGCGGATCTTGCGCCTTTTCGTCGAGCGACTCAACTTGATCGGTCGCAGTGCAAACTCTCTCCGTCTACTTTGATTGGATATCGACACCAAAAACCCAACTTTATTTGGACACTGTATGTCGGTTAAACATGCTAGTGAACGGCACTAAGAACTGCTATCTATTTTAGGGCGATCTTGCGAAAGGGCACTCTTGGCGGCGCGTGGCTAGAGTCGGATTTGCCCCGGATTACGCAAGTGATGGACCACGGACCGATCGGAATGGCGCATCCGAGTGTCAACGTTGACGGCATCGTCACGGGCCGCTGGAAGATTGGTATCTTTGGCTGCCTTGACACGTGCATTCCCAACAGTACGCACTTTTTTTCATATGTGATGCAGGATTGCTCAAAGTGCAAACTAGCGGCGATGGTGACGATTTGCCCATGCGTGAGCCTTGCGCAGGTCACGACGCGCATCGGGTATGGCGAGTACTTTCTGCACGTGCTCCTCGCGTCCTTCTTCCTCTACATCATGTACCTCACCTTGTGCTTCGTCGATGCGATGTGGTTCCAAATCATCGTCGGCATCCTCAGCTTTATCATGTTTCTCTTCATGTGCCACCTGCGCTGCAAGGTGCGCGATCTCTTTCACATTCCCGGCTCGATCATCGAGGATTGTCTCTGCGCGCTCTTTTGCGGCTGCTGCTCGTTGGCGCAAATGGCGACCCACGTCGAGTCGTACAAGCCCGGTGACTGCCAGTTTGAAGCCCGCGCGACCCTTCCGTCGTTCCAAGTCTAGTCGCGTTTTCTCACCAGTGCCCTCGTCATATAATTGCTTTATGTTATCCTCTGATGATTGGAAAAGACTAGTGTACGAGTAGATCTCTAAAACGTGGGAATAGGAACGGTGTCGGCAAACCGTTGGCGCAACCCTACGGTCGCAACAATTGCGACCATGGCGAGTGATTGTGGTGCAGTGCACGGACCTTGATAGACTATAAGCTTTGTAGAAGCTTTGCGAACGCAATTGAGCTTAAGGAGAGACACCAGCTGCTCGCAATGCATCGAGCGGTCAGTGCTAATGGGTCCAGCGGTGTAGCATTCAACGATCCAGGAGTCGATCGTCCCTCTGTCGACCACCATAGTCGTCGGCTCGACGACCAACAAGAGGTATCATCGTCTGCTACACGCGTCCTTGCGTACTCTCGTCTCAAAGGTCAATAAAATGTTTGTATTGACACTTGCCGATGTGTGGTCTGGCGCGTGCTATTGCATCTGGGCATGGTACCCTCCTAACAGCAGCATATTGAATCTACTGCCAAACATCCAATAGGGTTGAAAGCCTCTACAATTGCACTGCACGCGTAGTGAGTGCGTTCATGATGTAGTATCAAGTAACCTCAAACAACGATATAGAACGCACCAAAAGGGCGCGGAACGGAAAAACGCTCGGTTAGGAAACGAACGCGCCGCTTCGAGTCCGCATGCCAACGCTTACGCGGGACGTGTACATTCGCATCGCGCCGCCGGGGCACCATGGCCGACGCATCAACTGCAAAGGCTGCACCGCCTACACGCCGTCGTGTGATGCCTGCGTCAAGAAGCGAAAGCGCGCCAAGCTCAAGGCCGCACGGCAGCGCAAGATGATCTGGAACGTCGACTCGCTCAACCCGCGCTGGGACATTCCGCGCCAAGTCAAAGCCGAGCTACCGCGCCTCGTTCTCGGTATGTTCCTACCAGTTTAACCATACTTTTGTGGAGAGCTTTGAGTAGAAAAGAGTGTCGGGATCACCCCCCTCGACGTCTTCTTGCAGTGCTCGGGCCTGACACTGCCCCCGCCGCCATCCGATATGTCCTTCTCGACGACCAAGCACTTGCTCTCGGCACCCAATGCGGCGCTAACAGTCGGCAGTGTCAAGTCATGTGCGCCGCATTCTCGATCCACCGTGAAGTATCTCACGCTTCGCAATGCAGTAGGGTTAGGGGAGATGAACCCGCTGTCCGTCGACGAGCAAAACAACTACTTTGGTGCGACGGGGCGGCGCGAGCTCAAGCAAATCTACTCCAAAATGGCGTCGCAGCAGGTCCATTTGGAGCGAGTTTTGAGGGTCGTTTCTTGACGAGAGTCTGGTCTAGTACCTGCAAATGGATGGTACGGACGGCCTTGTCGACAAGTTCAAAAGCATGCTCGCGTCGCAAAGCGAGCCGTCGCCAGATCCCATTGGCATGTTCAACGCCCGAGGTAGTTTTTGTTTGGCGTTCGAACGTCATCTTAAAAAACCATAGAGGCGCTCACGGCCCGGCACAAGTTTGTGTCCATGTGTTTGGAGCACGAGTTGCCACCGTGCCTTCGGCTCATTATCCGCAACAAGGTAACATCCCGATTGTCGTTGCAGTGGAAAACCTCACATTGCAATAGATTTCACCCGAAATCAACGTGTCGCACATGTCGATGGGCGATGAATTGGCCAAAAGTAGAAAATATGCTGGCGTCGTCTGGAATTGAACCTCCTGCCTCTAGTTTTCAGCACTTGTCTCGTCGAGCTACCTATGGTGCTGTCGCTCAACGCGCGCAACAATCGGCTCACAGATCCAGGGCTCCAAGCCCTCGTCAATGTAAACTGAAGATGCATTGTACGATGGCATAACGTGTCAACTCTCTACACCTAGGTGGTTCGCAGCAAGCCCGATTTGGTCTCGCTCGACTTGTCCGAGAACAAGGTGGACGGTGACGCCGCAGTGGCACTCGCCGAGTACCTCGGGAGCGCACATTGCGGCCTCACGACACTGATTCTGAGCACATGCGATATCGGTGCCTCCGAAAGTGTCTTTGTCTGCCCTAAATGTGCGTGCGATTAGACGATGGCGAGCTGGTCCCGTTTGCGGACGCGATGAAAAC